CAGTCTTTAAGTCTTAATCCTCCAGAGGATATCAAATGATCGAGAGGAAAACCATGAAGTCAGTTTGCTTCTGACTCTAAATTTCAAAGGAAAAGGAGTGATAGAAAATTAAAGCCTCTGGAAAACATAGGGGTGCATATTCATCCGTCAAGCGAGTCATTGTTTTCTTAATACAAATATATCTCATGGCAAGTTCCTAAGAGTGTAACCCAGGCCGTCTTGTAAATATCAGGCTGGAACCAGCTGAAATACAATTGCTTATACAAAATTCAAAGTGCTTACAGTATCTGAGTCMCTTGACTCCAGAGGCATGCCACAGAAGCATCCCAGACTTAGGTACAAGGCACGCAATAGCCAAGTGGCCCAACACCCTCCTAAAAGCAGCTTGACATATTTTTCTCCTCACCAAAGTGCATGCCATGGGTGCAGTTTTGCTGTGTGYGGTATTATATGTGTATAGAGTTACGTGTTTAAATATAATTTGTGATCACACCAGTCATGAGCAGGGGTTGAAGAAGCAACGAATATAAATATATACTGGGTTTTGCCTAATGCTTTTTAAGACTGTGGCAAGAAGGTCATTCCCTAGTCCCCAGCCTCTCCATCTTCTCCCTGACCAGCCACCACTTAATATCATTTCAGTCAATAACATGGGCTGTGAAGTCTCCATTCATGACACAAATTGGCTGTGTTCTTTGAGAGTCAAAGCTAAAGTAAAAGATGAGGTGTGTAGCTATTTCCGCCCAGGCACAGAGCATATGATTCATTCGAGAAAATTCTCATATGGCTGTTTTGTAAAATGAAGTATAATTTGCCCAATKTCCACAAACCAACACTTTATTAGTATTATTTAACTTACTTTTCCCTACTAGCAGGAGTGGAAAAAAATCAATACTAACCTTTCTAAAAACAACTTGGCAACATGAACCAGGTCTGAAGAATGTCTAACTTGGTACAGAATAAGGCTATAGGCAAGAATTGAGAACACAGACAAAGATTGAGATGTGAAAACACTTTAAGTATATTTATAACAGAGAAAATCTGAGGGGGGGAAAAAAACCTAAGTATCCCACAAGAAGAAGAGAGTTAATAACTTGTGGTATCTCCATATGAAAAAAGGTTATGTAGTCATTAAAAAGCATATGTCACTTGGGTGGCACTCCTGTAATCCCAGCTACTCAGGAGGGCAGAGGTAGTAGGATCGTGAGTCTGAGGCCAGCCTGAGCAATTTAGTGAGATCCTGTCTTGAAAAATAAAAAGACTAGGGATGTAGGTCAGTGGTAAAGTGTTCCTGGTTCGATCCCCTGTAACACACACATGCTAAAAAAAGGCATAGGTTAAAAAAAATGAGAAGCAGTCATGATTAAAAATTTAGTATCAAGTTATATATATATATATATATATATATATATATATATATATATGTGTGTGTGCATGTACAAACATACTTGTATACATACTTATATACACACATACATATTACAATTTTGATAATATAATGTGTATGTACAGAATAAACACTGAAAGAAAATATAGGGAATTATATGTGCATTTATCACTATATGGTGTTGATTTTATTTCCATCTTTATATTACTCTGCATTTTCCACCATGTTTACAATAATCTTGTCTTAGTTTTAGAATCATAAAAAATAATAATACAAATTAAAGAAACAGGCTCATACAAAGCACTGGCACAAAGGGAAATTTGGGGCTAAAAGTAGCTCTCTGTCATGTAATTTTCAAAAGAGCAATCCYTACATCAATCCATCCTAGAACCCAAATGCCCTTAACAGTAAGAAAACACCCTAACAGGCTCTGGAAGCTTTGACATAAACTACTCAAGGTCTTCTTGCATGCAAAGGACACCTTCTCTATAGACAAAGGTTAATAGAGTGGCTCTGTAAGTAATCATCTGCTGTCCCCATAAAACATGACCTTGCAAGTCAATGTCAGTGGAATCTGAAAGAGGGACAGAGGGCCCCAGGTAACATAATGCGCTCAGAACATGTCTGTGGCTCTGACAGGTGCAAACAACTCAGCTYGTCTAAATATAAATTGACTTGGGCAGTTTGGAAACAGTTTTTCCCACTTACTATTCTGATCAAGCAAAAGAATGTTCTCTTCTTTAGTTCTGCCTCCTAATGCTAGTTATTTTTATTTAGATTCATTTTGCCATCATTTTCATTCAAAGAGAATATTAGAACTCACACACAAAAAAAAAGTCTCTCCCAAAATCTTGGATGAGATTTTTGAAATGTTTTTGAAATGCATGAAGTGGAGAAGGAGATAAAACATTAATGATATTTCTTAAAACTTTCTGGATGAGCAGTAAGCTCATGTTAATACAAAAATAAAGAAACACAGTCTAATATTTGATCCAGGAAGGAGATCTTCTTTTGAATCAGCAGAGTGGAAGTTCTTGTGGAAACACAGACATCTGCTTCTTTGCCAATTCCTGCCTGGCTCTCTCCAATCACCCCTCAACTCTACCTCTTTCCTCAGGAGCCTGCTCAATGCTCACTTCTCAGGGGGCCTTCTCTCACTTCCCCCACTCCTACTGCCACACACACCAAGGCTACCTCTTAACTCTCCAAATACACACACTTACCTTCCATACATTTAGTCCACATCATTATTTTTAGCCTATGAGTTTCTTGATGGGTGAGATTATATTTCACTCATTTTTTTTTAATTTTTAGCATCCTGGCTTATGGCAGCTACTCAATAATGTGTTGGTGAATGAGTGGAGGAATGAATCAAGAAGAGAGGGCTGAAGCAGTCAGATGAGCCTGCAGTTCTAGCAAGGAAGAAGAAAGACTTCCAGTCTTGAAAAAGAAAAGCCTATGGAAGAATAATAACTAGCGATGCTTAGCCACTGCTAAGTTGTTTTCTTTTTAGTTGTAGATAGGCACAATACCTTTATTTTATTTCTTTCTTTTTATGTGGGGCTGAGGATCAACCCAGTGCCTCACACATGCCACTCTACCACTACCACTGAGCCACAACCCCAGCCCCAAGTTTTTTGGTTTATTTTTTCAGAGGGGGTGGGTTTTAATAAAAGAAGTAAGACTAAAATCGAAYGCCAGATAGCACAAAAGAACCTTGGTGTACATTGACTTCAGCATTGAAATTTTCCATTTTCACTTTCCCTCTTTGTTACCATTCAATGAGAGGATGGGGCAAGAGTGTATCTAAAGGCTGGTCCAGCTCTCTGGGTTGGGGGCTGTGGGTTTGCAGTCTTCTGCTGGAACAACCCTCCTAAGCTTGCATCCCAGCTCTATTCTGGTCGCAAGAAAAGACTGTTCTTTTCCGACTCATAGAGGCCACATTCCTACCTACCAAGACGTGGTATGCCACAACTAAATTTAGCCCCACTCTCCAGGTCTGAAATAGTCATTTTAAACCACACGGGAAATTACTACCCATGATTTCCTAGATCTACGTAAGAAAGATGCTTCCAAACCCTAATGCGATGAAATTGGATTTGCTTGTCCCAACTCCTGGCCTGTGTTTGGTTCAGATCACCCTTTGCCTGCATACGTTTTGCAATACCTGTTGGCTCTTCATCTTTGACCACTCCTTTAGCATGCTCACTACACTTAAGAAACATAGCCAGCACTTGGCTTAATAATTTTCAACCTACTCATCAGCTTACTAAAGGGGGTTTAGAGTTGGCAAAGGTAAAATGCCAACCGCCTACCAATAGCGGATTTCACAGGTGGTCCTTTATCAGATCTGCCCTTGGAAGAGAAGAAAGATGACTAATAATCATCCTCTGCATTTCAGCCAGGGAAACTGTGGCTAGGGAAGCTCTCTGTAGAGCTGAAGGCTTGTATTGGATTATTGCAACCAATTAATGTTTTAGTCTTGTACATCTAGTAAGATTAGAAGCTAGTCCTATATCTCTTGAAGTTGAAATTCTCAAACACCATATTCARCATAATGAATTTTTATAATACTAAATATATCCAATATGAAGGTTGGAAAATATTCCTTTTCTGCATTTTTATTGTTATCACTGTTAAGAGTACTTAAGGAAAAAAATGTAGGGTTTATTTATGTCTTTACTTTGCTCTTTGAAAAGTTGGCCATCCTATGYCCATTAACAACATTTAAAGTCTTACTGGTCATTAAAACTAGCGATATGAGAGTCCTCCCCCCCCCAAAAAAAAAGTGGCTAGTTCATTTCATTTGATACAAAAATTGATCAACATGGGAAGAGGAGTCTCTGGTCAAACTCTACTAAGGTCGTCAGTCTCTATCAATCTCCAAGATAATCAAAAAGAACAGAGAGATCCTGTACATTCACGTAGTTATTATAATAAATTTGAGTCAGGTAATCGCCTCTAAAATACACTTACCTGAGGAAACCCTCAACAGTATCTGGAGATTTGCGTGTTTGGGATGAGCTGTGGTCCTCTGGCCCCTTACCAACTTTATAAAAAGTATTTTCTTGTATTTTTGTCATAGTAACACCTGGACGTGCGTTATAAACCCAAAGCAATAATTGTTTTTTGTACACTTTAGAAGGAGCTGCGGATATGTATCCTGAAKGACTCCCTATAAAACCTAAGGAAACACAATCGATGTTGTCTCAGGACCCCTCAGGGCTCTGCATGTAGTGAGGGAGGGAACTGTCACCTTGAATCCAGGGCTGGAGTGTCATGAAAGCAGGATCCGCAGGGAAGTGGGACTACAACTGCAATTGCTTTCTAGGCTCATGGGTGCCTTGGCCTGGTTAGGATTTTGCCTAGGAAGAAGCAATTTTGCACGCTGCCAGCTTCCAGCCGGCTCACTCTAACAGGACGTCCTTTTGTAGGAAATCGCCTCTGCCCCCTGGCGCCCGTCCTCTGGCTCCTGATGAAAAGGTGACCCTCCGCCCCTTTCTCCAACCCTGGACGCCAGCCCTATCACTCCCGGCACGCTGCCGATCACGTGGAGGAGCAGTGCTTTCCCGGATCGTGACCATTGGTCATCCGCTCCCGTCTCGGGCGCACCCATTGGCTGTGGGGGGCGTTCACGTGCAAGAGGGTCTGGGATGGGACCCAAAGTGGGAGAGGTGGGCGGAAAGTTAAAGGGCGCRGAGCGGCAGCAGGAGCCTGAGTCCGGGGTGACGCGCTGAAAGGAGGAGGCSAGCGGGGTGCTCTCGCGCGTGGATTGAGGCAGCTGCCCGCCCAGGGCGCACACCTGAACGCCAGCCCCGGCTCCCACCGTCGCGGTCGCTGTGCGTGTCATCCTCACKCGTTTGGTGTAGCGGGCTGGCGCTTTTGCCCTCAGGACTTATGAGCTGTACCCGGTATGTACCTCCTGAAGCCTCGAGTTCGAGGTGCAGTAACAAGAAACCCGTGGCGAGGGGCGCGCAGGGCAGCTCCCCTTTGTTTCTTGCCTCCCACACTTTATCCATCCGACTAGCAGCTACACACCGGTGGTGGAACGCACTAGATGGGCTCSAGTAAGCTGTGGCTTCCACGTGGAGATGGCAAACCAGGGACCAGAGCTGGGATAGAGCGCGGCTGGACTCACGTGTACCCCCCAAACTCCGGAACTTTGGGACCCGGCCGCGAGGGGTGGCGAGGGACTGAGCTTGAGACAACAGATACCTTTGTGCCCTGTTGTCCCGGTTTCGAAGGTGGCACAAGTTTCCAGCTTGGTACCTGATACTTATGGGGGACGTCTCCGCAGTTGGGCAGTGGGTTTTGGAGCACGAGTCGCCTGTCTTCCCCACCCCCCAAATCTCTCGATCTCTCTCCATCTCTCTGCCTCAGTTTCTCAGTAAAAGAGCTGTGTAAGAAAGCAGCTTCCAGGCCCGAAGGTTATAAAGTTGCATTTACTTGTCCCAACTCCTTCCCAGTTTGGTTCAAATCCCTTTGCTGCACAGGAGAATGGAAACTCGGGCAACGCGAAGTAGAGTGACCCACAGTCCCGGGACTGGGGCCATCCGGGTTGGTGGGGGCGAGACGGCCCGCGCGGGGGTGCTAGTGCCGCGCAGCTCCAGCCCCGGGTTACCCCGCAGCCCCGCCCCTATCTGGTGGGAAACTTGGGCTCCTCCTCCTGGTCGTCTTCATCTCCGGGAACCCAGCCCAGGCCCGGCCTCCCGGACAAACACCAAAAGCTCACGTAGTCGGTGGCAGCGGCCTCCCTGCCACCTCCCCCTAGTGTCTCCGATGCGGCCAGCGAGTTGCCGAGGGGGCTTCTCCGCCGCCGGAAAGGTGAGTGCCACTGGGAGGTTGGGGGCGGGGTGCAGCCTGGGCCAGCTGGAGCTAGCCAGGCAGGGTCAGGCTCAGTGGGCAGAGTGGCAGGTGGGATCCTCCACCCTCCACACACCGCCCTGCCCCCAGCGCCCGGTGCTACCACGCTTTGGAACCCAGACAAAGGGGTGTGGAAGGGGCAGTAACTGCAAAAGAGGCGTGAGGGCCCAGAACAAATACGAGAGGATTTGTGAACTTGAAAAGTTGCTGAAAGCCCCCGGAGCCTGTGGTCTGTGTGGCCAGCCACTTTGGGAAACACAGCATCCTTGGGAGACCCAGGGTTCAGCAGAAGAAAGTTAGGCCTAGGRGCTAGAGAAGAGGAAATGGCCACTTGGCAGAGCTGTCTAGAAGCCAAGACTAAAATGAGGACAAGCTGGAGGACTCACCTCACAAGTAGAGTTGAGGTACTTCGGGGGAAAGTGAGTGGCAAGAGAAGAGCCATCAGGCACCGTTGGCAACAATGTCAGAGCTAGAAAGGACCTCACAGGAGAATCTTTAAGCCCAGAGAAATTGAGTAGCCCCAGCAGGCACAGCTAGGTAGAAGCTATTGTTAGAACAGTGCTCTGTTTCCCCTTGGGAAGTTTTTAATGGTAGGATCTATACCATTTWAATTCACTCTTTCCTTGATATGCAACCGTATTCACAAATATTTATCTACAAGATGCTTKAGGTGATGGCAACAGGATCAAGGGCTACAAGTAGCTTTTAAGACTCTAGATAAGGTCTCAGTGGCCTAATTACAAAAGGGAGAAGGTGTTATCATTATACTGTCTGAGCCAAATCCTTTAGGAAGGAATAAAGAATTGCTGAAGGAGGTGGAGGTTGGTGGCCATGTCTTAGATCCCAATTGTGAWTGCTTACCTAATATAGTTTGGCAGTTTTCACTGTTGCTGGTTGAGTGTCTGATTTTTCCTCTTTCCTTATGAGAAAGGGTGGGAGAGATAAGTATGAATATATAGAGGGAAAATGTCCCCAACACCAAACAAAAACAAAAACCTTCCTATAAAGGTACAGCCAGAAAGTCAGTAGCTCACCTGCATGAAACTGGGAAGGTCATGGGATTATTGTCTGTACTGGCCTATGGTTTTCACAAGAAAAATCACCATGACATTTAACACTGGCCAGCTGCCTTAGGAAAGTGTGTTATTTGTCACTAGTGGAACAGAAAATGCATTTCTGCAAAACTGTCTATTTGGTCTGTGATTTTCATGAGTGTTTGAGTTTGTGCAGTTTGGGCCTGGGACACTGAAATCCACTTTGGGGCATGGCCTAGTCCCTCATCAGGCACAACTGAGCTCTGAGGCATCCATGTTGACGGGCCTGGGGAACAGCTACTCATGCTCCCTTGTCCCTGCCCTGCATCWGGTATCCAGATCCTATGTCATTCTTCTGGTTCAAATGTGTGTTCATATCTTCTGGTTCTGGATTTTTCCCTGACCAGCCTTGACAACTTAACCTGAGAGAGGGAAATGACCAGGGCAGTATATGTCAGGAGACGAGGCCTGGCACATACTGCCTGGGAATTGATCATTTTTGTGTTGTTTGCAAATGAAGCACCTGTCCAGGTGCCTTCCTTTCAGGTACTTTACCAAGTATTCCTTTATATGCTTGGTTGCTCCAAGCATTACTTTTGGCTAATAGTCATCCCTGCCACAGTCTGTTGGGGAGATTCTGAGCAGGTGGTCAGGAAAACCTACCCTAAACCAGCACCCTGCTGCACCAATTCTAGGAGAATGGTCTGGCTAATAAAGACTRGAATCTACTATGAGGACAGGAGAAGTGGCTGACAGTCACATTTTATCCTGAATTGAGGCCATGAGGGTGAATGACCGCACCTGAAGTTATGGTGACATGCAGAAAAAGTGAAGGGATTCTGGGCCACAGTTGCTTGTGCAATTCTCTGGGCCAGTAGTGTGGGTGGCAACTCTTGTTCCACCATAACCTAACTTTTGCCTTTCTTGGAAGAATATTGCAGAAACAGTTTGACTCTTGAAAATGCTAGTTTAATTGTTGAATTTGTACTGACTCTGACTAGAACCTCCCCCCCCCCCCAATCCAGTTTAACTTGTTCTTACAGCTTGGGAATWAAAGGGGTTGGGGGACTGGTGGCATAAATTTACACTACTGGGCCCAAACAGCTTAACTTTATTGAAGTCTCCAACAAAGTCTCTTTAACCTGTGAGATCATAACTTAGGAGAACATGTAGATTCTTTAATTGACCCCTTGGCTTTACATTTCTGTTTCCACAGTATCTTGAAAGGTTCTCAACCTTTTTCTAATGAGCTTTAAAGACAGGTGGGAAAGCCCAGCTAAGTTTGGTTTGCAGGCTTGTTGGAAGTGCATAGAGAACTTACAGTTGACCTTGGGCTGACTCAGGTCAGGAGGAAGCAGTGGGCCCAGGAGGAACCCCTCCTCCTCAGTTCATACTCAAGATTTCAAGGTGGGCAGAGGGAGAAGCCTCTGGGATGCAAGGCGAGGGCTGTTGTGTGGTTGGTTGGTTTTAATTCATATTTGAAACAAACAAAAAAATCCCTGTGCTAAAGTTAGAACTGAAGGTTTAATTCTAATACACTCTAACATATAATTTTATGTGTGTGTGTTGTAGATGTACACAGTTAATTTATTTATTTATCTTTGTGGTGCTGAGGATCAAACCCAGTGCCTCACACATGCTAGGCAAGCTCTCTACCACTGAGCTACAACTCCAGCCCCTCTAACATACAATTTTTCAATGTGCAGGAATAACTAACATTCAAGTGATATATAAGTGTAGGGTCTTAAAAAAATTAGTTAACCCAATGATCAATCTACTGTAAAGCCATCTTGTCCCATTCAATCAGAACTTCCTTTTCCAGAACAATTACATGGGTATAAGAAGAGATAATAGCAAGCAAAATTGCTTTGAAAAACTTCACTGGATTGACTTTGGTAGAGGTGAAACAGTAAGAAAAATATCCTTTAAAATGAATGTTGTGTAAAGCATGCCTTACATACAACCGTGAATTATTGTTTTGTCTCTGAATYTGTGTTTCTCTAACTGGTCATGGCAAAGTGCTTTCTGCATCCTAGGAAAGTGTTGTACTTAAAAAAAAAAAAATGGGATCACACCTGATATGCATTTGTCTTTTCTCAATTTTTGCATTATATATTAGGTTAATCAAAATCAAAATTTAAAAAAGAGAGCTTATTTATTGGGTCACATCAGTGGTGCSCAACTCTTGTCAAAAGATGAACAACATTTTGTCTGTMACTTTTCAGGGGCAGCAGTGCAGCCTGAAAACAGGCACTCCTGCAYTGCCATATACTACACCTTTGCTATGAGAAAGGGAGGTTTGTTGGGGAACTAATCCAGTGTTCTGCAATTTTGAGTTGAGATTTTAATCCTGGTTTATCATTATATTCTTCCCATTAGCTCAGAGTAATCAAAATGAAAAAAGTACACACATTAGTGAGGCAATAGTATAGGATGGGGTTTTAGCAAATTTAAGATATTTTTTCCCCAAGATTCACTTATTTTCTGATTGTAGAAAGCAACATTATTTTAGGAGATGAAAGAAAATACAAAGCAGGAAAACATTTCCTGAAATCCTGAACGTGGGTATTCTGAYAGTTTTAACTGTACAGTAAGTACCTCTTTATCTACAAGAGGTAGACTTCAAGACCTACCCCCCCTCCAACCCAGTGAATGCCTGAAACCTCAAGTAGTTCCAAACCCTCTGTATGGTGTTTCCCTCCTTGTATCCTGTGTATTGCCCTATAGTACCAAAGTTAATCTGTCCTTCCATGTTACATATTCMGGTGCTTCCTTTGCATCACTACYCTTGGGGASTTGRTTAAGTAAAATATGGGCAAYTTGARCACAAGCTGTGATACAACAYCAGTCTATCTGATACCTGAGACAGCTACTTAGTCACAATGGACAGGAAGTGTATGTATGATGGCTATTCTGGAGAAGGGGATGATTCATATCCTAGGAACAAGTGGGACCAAGTTGGGGCGGGAGATTTCTTCATACTGTGCACAATGGGGTACAGTTGAAAATTTACGGCTTGTGTATTTCTGGAATTTTTTCATTTTAACGTTTCTGGACTGTGGTTGAACACTGGAAGTTGAAATCATAGTAATGGAGGAACTACTCTATTTTTAGTCTTTTTCAATATATTAATGTAATATTGCTCCTCACCAGTCTGGTYTTTATATACAACTTTATTTTCTTCGTTTTTAATATTACATATGTTGTAAAATTTTCCCATGTCATTTAAATATTTTTCATATAATAATTTTAATGATGTAAAATTAAATAATATAAATGTGTTACAGTTGATTTAACTAGGTACCTATTAGTGACTCCTCTTTTGCCCCTATAAGGTTGCACTAAAATTTTAGTATATTAACTTCCATATGTTTTTAATTACTTACATAGGATAAATATCTGTATGTGATATTGAAACAAAAATAATAATATTTAGAAAGGTTGTACTAATTTAGATTAATAAAAGGATTTATAGTATCTTTTAACATTCTTTCCTGATTCAGTAGGAAAAAAACATAGATTGTTTCTAACCTAAATTTTTAAATTAACTTTAAGCTTGGACATTTTGTATATTTTGATGGCCAATTTAAATTTTCTTTCAAGAATTTTCTATTCATACTTCCTGCTCATTTTTCTAGGTATAATATTTAACTTTGAAAAAATATTTAACTTTGTTCTTACTTTGTAAGAACTCTTTATATATTAAGGTATTAACTCTGCTGCAGCTCTTATTGTAAAATATTTTCTGAATTTTTCTTTTAATATTTTCAGTTTTATTTATTTTTTCATTTATACAAAGATAATTTTTATGAATTTAATCTCTTTTTGCATGATTCTATTTGCTTTTTATTTTTATAGCAGCTAGTTTAACTTATATAAAAGGCAAACTGTTCTTCTATATGACAGGTTTAAAAATAATAAATTGCTGATTTTTTAAAAAAATATGCTAGAATATTAATGGTATACCAAATATACCATTATACATATGATGTTTAAAGTAAACAAATTTGCATCTGTCTTCACCATTGAATCCTAGTATCTAGCATAATACCTGGCATGTAGTAACATGAAATCAATATTTGTATTCTTGAAAATGATTTCTTTCTTGGATTAAAACAATATTTATGATTAAAACCACAATGTTTCCTCACTTATATGATAATGGTTATTGTCAAAAATGTGAAGGATAACAGTATGGAAGAGGATATGGAAAAAGGGAACCCTTATACACTATTGGTGGGAATGTAAATCAGTACAAGCATTATAGAACACAGTGTGGAGTGTCCTCCAGAAATTAAAAATTAACATATGACCCAACGATCCCACTACAGGGCACATATTCAAAGGGTAGCCACACTCACGGGCTCATTGTGACATCATTCACAATAGTTGAGCYATGGAGTCAACTTCAGGATCCACTAATAGATGAATGGGGAAAGGAAATGTGGCATATTTGCACAATGGAATATTGTTTGGCCATAGAAAAGAATGAAATCTTGTMATTTGCAGCAATAAGGATAAGCCTGGGGACATTGTGTTAAAAGTACAGTAAACAGGGTGCAGAAAGACAAATACTGAAATGCTAGTTACCAGGGGTTGGGCACTGAGGAGACTGGGGAGCTGTTAATCAAAGGACACAAAATTTTAATTTGGTAGGAGGGGAAGATTCAAGAGTTCTGCTGTACYTCATGGTGGCTATAGTTAACAATATATAGTATACTTGAAAACGGCTAAGAAAATAGATTTAAGTGTTCTTACCACACATACATAYAAAATAAGTGTGTGAGGCAGTGCATATGCCAAATACATCCATTAGCCACTCCACAGTGTGTTCATCTGTCAAAATATACTAATAAAAACAAATTTTAATCTATATTTTTTAAATAAAATAAACATGAAAAAAATATAATATTGGAAGCCATAAATATATATATAGCTTTTACTTATCAGTTAATAATAAGTAGCAATATTTACCAAAGTGTGTGCCTCAGGAAAGCTGTTTGTAGAGTACACTCCACCAAAAAAGAGATTCTTTAGTCAAGTAAGTTTGAGAAATTCTGCCGAGCGCCCTTTTCTTTATCCTTTATGGTGCATTAGCCTATCCTAACAGGAAAACCTGTGAATTTAGTTTTAAAAATCCCAGCAGCTTCCGAGGCTCAGGAAGGAGGATCGCGAGTTCAAAGCCAGCCTCAGCAAAAGTGAGCCTCAGCTAAGCAACTCAGTGAGACCCTGTCTCTAAATAAAATACAAAATAGGACTGGGGATGGGGCTCAGTGGTACAGTGCCTCTGAGTTCAATCCCTGGTACAAAAAAAAAAAAAAAAAAAAAAGAAACTAGTGGGTTCTATATTTTTGGTTTTAATTTCAGACCCCCACCCCMCCCCMCCCCMCCCMCACATACATAATCTCCCCCTGAGACCCATGTCCTGTGAGGCCACCCTGGAGTTGTCCTGCACAGTAGCATGCCCAGTTCTGCTGGAATCAGGTGTTGGAACATCGATCTGATCTCGTTGCTCTTTTCTCTCCTCCYCCTCCTGCCAGGGTTCTGACCTATCCATCTAGCCCCATGATGGCTGTGGACATAGAGTACAGATACAACTGCATGGCCCCATCCTTGCGCCGAGAGCGGTTCGCCTTCAAGATCTCCCCCAAGCCCAGCAAGCCCCTGAGACCTTGCATTCAGCTGGGCAGCCGGAACGAAGCCAGCGGGCTGGTGGCCCCTGCGGTGCAGGAGAAAAAGGTGAAAAAGCGGGTGTCCTTCGCAGACAACCAAGGACTGGCCCTCACAATGGTCAAAGTGTTCTCGGAATTTGATGACCCGTTAGATATTCCCTTTAACATCACCGAGCTCCTAGACAACATTGTGAGTCTGACGACAGCAGAGAGCGAGAGCTTTGTTCTGGATTTTTCACAGCCTTCTGCAGATTACTTGGACTTTAGAAATCGACTTCAGGCCAACCATGTCTGCCTCGAGAACTGTGTGCTGAAGGACAAAGCCATCGCGGGCACCGTGAAGGTGCAGAACCTGGCATTCGAGAAGATCGTGAAAATCAGAATGACATTTGACACCTGGAAAAGCTTCACAGACTTTCCTTGTCGGTATGTGAAGGACACTTACGCTGGTTCAGACAGGGACACGTTCTCCTTTGACATTAGCTTACCGGAGAAAATTCAGTCTTATGAAAGAATGGAGTTTGCTGTGTGCTACGAGTGCAATGGCCAGGCGTACTGGGACAGCAACCGGGGCAAAAACTATCGGATCATCCAGGCTGAGTTGAAATCCACTCAGGGAACCGTGGAGCCACATAATGGACCGGATTTTGGAATCTCCTTAGACCAGTTTGGAAGCCCTCGGTGTTCCTACGGTCTGTTTCCCGAGTGGCCTAGTTACTTAGGATATGAAAAGCTAGGGCCCTACTATTAGTGAGTGCAGTTCACAGGTGTGTGGCCCTGKTCACCATGCAATGGAGAAGCCAAGAGAAGAGCCGAATGAACTGCTATTTGGCCCAGTTTTCACAAAGAATCCTGTCTATTTTTTTTTTTTCTTAAACCAGCACATTCAGCCAGGTTTAGATCACAGAACTGGTTTCTCATTCAGAGGGTTCGCTGGGTCCTCTGTGGCACCCAAGGTGGCCACTTGGGAATGAGCAGGATGCTGCCAGAAAGAGCCGGGTAGGAACCAAGCCTGTGGGCAGTGTGGCGAGGCCGGAGGAGCCTGACCTCTTCTCTACACCCAGATGTGGGAAGCAGTCACCCCCATCAGACCCTCTCCATCCACGTCTGGGTTCTCTGCATCCGCCAGGTCTTTTCTGCTGCTGCTGTTCATATCTACTCAGAAGCACCCCTTATCTCTGTGCTGTGACACAACAGCCTGACATCATGTCACCCATTTGTAATAACAGCTACAGAAGAGAGATGGGATCTGCTCATTTTTTGTGCAAATTATGTTTTGCATTTCATTTTTTTCCACCGTTCATTCAGTGTTCAGGAAAAGATAATAAAGGCTTGTGACAGAGGCAGGAATTTCCGCCTCCCATCTTCCTGAACCTACATCCATATTCCACAGAGAGCAACACACCATTATGGAAAGTCACTGGCTCCTGTGTGGGGTCGCAGATTTCAGGGTTATTACAAGGCAGGACAGTCATGAGTTTTAGCTTTTCTTCTTGGCTTTTGGGGGAGCTTTCTAAGCACTTACTTTCACCCCGAGTCACCAGAAGGCTCAATGACAAGATTTGTTTTCACTTGCTTGGCTGCTTTGCAAGCCTCATTCTTTACAGAAGAATTGTAGATCTCATTTCCTGGAGAGTCATCTTTTATGCTGTGTTTGGGACACTTGATTTGCAGATCCAGCATATCCTCAAAGCCTTCAGAAAATGTTTGGTTTTATTTTGACTGTGATATACAATATCCAGGACACTTTACAAGCACCCGGGGACATTGATTTGGGTGTTCTTATTTATGGTGTGTGAATATGTAAAGGGATAGGGGAGAAAAACCTCACTACATTCTCATATGTTATTTTAAAATGTTTGCCAACTCTGAAATATCAGAGATTAATTATTTTTAACCATATTGRACTACAGCATGTTGGTTAATGCTATTGTGAGACTCCTGGGACATTCACTGTCAGGTGGATCCTCCAAACCTGTGATTTTTCTTGGGTAGGATTGGTTTTTAAATTAGGAGTGTATGAAAAATATTTTTTTCATGTATACTTGTAGAAATCTGAATTTTTTCTGGTTTTTGTTTGTTTTTGGAGTTGGGTTAAAAGACTGTTCAATTCTTTTTTTTGCCTGATTTTACGAAAGTGTGTGTCGTTGCCTGGATTCAGGGGCACAGCTGCTGGACTTGCCAAGCAGAGTCTCTAGCTTGAATTTTTCCAGAATAATTAGAAACGACCTCCTGATTTGTGACTTTGTACATTGATATCAGGCAGACATTGAGTGCCTTCGCTCCTAGAGTTTTGTGGTTGGGTTTTTTGTTTTGTTTTTAGTTTTTCATTTTTGAACTTTAAAATGTTTTGACTTTTTAAATGCTCAGTGATATTTGGTATAATCCTTGTTCCTAAAACTGGCTGTTACTAGTCTTCAATCTAGTGCTTAGTTTTTTTTTTATGCCTCTTCCAAGTGGGTTACATTCTGATTACATGATAATATAATTTATGAGGAAGTCACATTTTTATTTTATGGCTGATATTGGGCAGGACTGTGTTTTATCTAAATATACCATACTACATCAGGTMCTCAGATGGTACTTGACATGTTACAAATTTGGTGGTCAGAGCTATTAATAGCATAAGTCTAAGTCAAATGGCAGCAAAACTGATCTCATGTAGGTCATGAATTTTGCTTTGTGTTAATAAGTGTCACGTCCCAATGTAGGAAGGGAACAAGGCACACTGTTATTTACAGGTCACCAAAATAAGGATCATTCCATGTTCAGAAGAAAGGGGCCTCAACTGGTTCTAGAAGAAAAGCCTGATGGTTTTATGTAATAATGATCCTAAGACATTCCCTTGTCAAAATTTGAAATATAWTAAATTCAGTGATAAGCATCTCTTCCCTTTTTTTCCTCCCAGCCCACCTCAGTTTTTATTTGCTGGGGGGCACTGGTTGCAAGCCCCCAGTCTGCACACCTGGGGTGCTTACCCCACCGCTCAGTTCAGAAGGCAAGTCCTCACCTGCTTTCCAAAGAGCCTTTTTCTCCAATGAAAGAATCTGCTTGCCTGACTTCTGTCATCAGGGCTGTCATTTATTGGGGTAGATGTACCTGAAGAACTGTCTGTGTCCTCATTGCAGTCTTTCTCYATTTGGCCTGGTCTGTCCCATGATTCTCAAATGACCTCAAGAATCTCACTGAGGGACTCTGCCCTGATCTCATAGCTCACCATCAATGGATAAGGCCTTCACACTTCAGAGGGTGATCAGTTCCTTAGATGAAAATTTCACTACATCCTGACCTTTGGACTTCCCCTCACACAGCTCTTGGTTATGGTGACGAATAGCCCCAGTCACATTGTCCTTTCCAGGTTGCCCAGAAGGACCAACCACCTGCCACTGTGCAGTTGTCCAGAACTGTGTTGTCAGATGCAATACTCTAGCAATGCGGAAACAACGCCATTTGTGTTTCATATTATTTCCCAAAATGCCCTGGGGTGCTTTTGCAAATTGGATGCAATAAATAAGATGGACTATCTAGATATGTAATAAGCTTTCAGTGTTTCTTGGATGATATGAAGCATGTGAGTGGGTTTAAAAAAAAATTTCTCATTAGAGGAAAACTGGTTAGAAACGGAGCTGAGCAGTTCCCTAGAAATTAAAACAATGTGAGTCCAGGGTGGAATTACTTTATCTCTGAGATTTAATTTTAATGGTTATAAAAAATAATAGATTTTTTTATTTAAAGATACACATTTTGAACTGCTTTGTGGATTTCGATCTTTTCATATCCTTTGCTTTTTAAAAAAAAAGCATTCTGTGTAGACATTTGGATAGTAAATGTGCTATGTGTGCTCATTTTTTTAGAAGTGTCCCGTCTTCCCTCTCATTGGACAATGAATGACAACTTTGATTGTCTTTCATTTGTTTCTGCTTTTAAAATCCCTCCCCTGGGGGCTGGGCTTGTGTCTCAGTGGTAGAGTGCTTGCCTGGCATGCGTGAGGCACTGGTTTCCATCCCTGGCACCACATAAAAATAAATAAAATAAAGAATGCATCCATCTTYAACTAAAAAWATATATATTTTTTWAAAATCCCTCCCCCGGATGGAGGCCTGGTGGCTCTTTGTTCTGGGGAGGTCTATATCTAATTGCCCCTCCTGACATGATGGACTGAAATTGGAGATGAGAAGTTACACACAGTARTGGGATCTTACTTACAATGGGATCTTATAGGGTCACCTGAAGCAATTTGGCAGCTCATCTTAATTTCCTGAAGTGGGATGAMGCATTGGGGACAGGCTGTTTTTCCTGGTCCTGGTTGTGAAGTATTGCAATGCAAGTCACAAAGCAACCAATCTTAGTTTTTCTGCTGATCCGTTCCTAGAGATTGCTGGGCCTGTGAGGACTTGGAGACTGCAGCTCTGATGTTTCACTTTGACTTCAATGTGAATGTAGAACTGAGGACTTGTCTTCATTTTATGCCTAGAAGTGCCTTGTGGAGAAATTTCTGCATGTTTTTTTTTAAATAAATATTTTTGTACACAAAGAGGAATTGCACTTTAAAATCACAAGAATGACTTTTTTTTTTTTTTTTTTTTTTGGTGTGTGTGTGGTAGAGGAGAGTGGTTGGTTTGTATATATCTCAAAAGCAAAAAAAAAAATGTAATAAAAATAGAAAAGAAACAAAACTGAAACTGTCTTCTATTCTTAGAGCCAGAGGAAGGGGAGTAATATTTTAAATCTCTTTTTTTTTTTTTCACATACCGACCTTAGATGTACAAGCCTATAGGTCATCATCAATGGCCGTGGTAAAGCTGTAAGGTTTGGAAGAAGGGGGTTAGTGCTTTTTAAGTTTTCTTGGGAATAAAGCCTGCTCAGAGCTGAGACGATAGTGCCAGGGAAGAGAGGTGCAGGGGTCTCTGTTATTTCCACCCATGTTTAGTTATCTGAGGTCCTAGCTCTTCAACCCTTTCACTTGCTCTTGAACTGCAGCACAGACTGATGTGTTCAGGCAAACCTGGGAAAACTGTCAGCGGCTGTCGTAGCTTTGAACTGCCTGATCAAACTCTGTAGGCAGCAAAATGAATCAGCTGCTGGTGGGCCCTCCCCTCTCCACTGGATAGTGGACATTTTACCTAAGATTTTCAGAGGTATTTTATTTCAAAGTTCAAAAACATAGGATGGGCGGGAGAGGCAGGTGGTGAACTGCCTCCAGAAGTTTTCACACCCCTCAGCCCTCTGCCACCCTGGGAAAGTCACCTGAAGTCAGCAGTGGCTGATGGGGAAAGTCAACAATGGCTCTGCAGAGGACAAGAGAGTATATGAAAGCTGTATTGTCAGCTTCTTCTCATTGGGACAAAATACCTGAGAAAAACAACTTAGAGGAGGAAAGGTGTATTTTCTGAACTATACCTAGTTTCAGAGGTTGCAGTCCATGGTCAGCTGGCTCCATGGCTCTGGGCCGGAGGCCAGGAAGAAGAGCATGGTGTAAAGATGTGGAGGAGGAAAGCTGCTCAGCTCACAGCAGCCAAGAAGTAGAGCGTTTGAGGAAGAGTCAGGAACAAGATACGCGCTTCCAGGGCACACTTCCAGTGACCCCTTTGATTAGGACCCATGTCACAGTTTCCACCACCTCCCAAGAAGGCCAGCAAATATGAATCCCTTAATGAATTAATCTATCCATGAGGTCAGAGCCTTCATGATCCAATCACTTTCCAAAACCTCCACCTGTGCACATTGCTGCATTAGAGACCAAGACTCCAACACTTTGGGAGATACTTCATATCTGAACCATAACAAAAGCTTAAGCAGCTCGTGTATGATCTGCAAAAGTGAGCTCCACACATAACTCTCTTTCTCAAAATGTTTAAACACCTCCCTCAAATTGCCTTCACAGAAATGAGAAGGGATAACACCAGGTTTACAAATGTCTGAGATTTAGTAGTTTTCAAAAGTGTTACCTAACTCTGAAATCATTGCCTAATCTCTCTGAGATGACTCGAGTAAAAGATCAAAAGAAAACACTTTTCTAGAGCAAAGTCCCAAAGTGGCAAATGTCTGGCTCTGAAAGATTCACTGCACATTTGCAGCTCATCCTCCACGCACAAAGCAAGGCTCAGGGTTTTCTGACCAAACCCCTCTGAGAGGTGCACACAAGCCCTCTGGTGGGCCCAGGAGCTACAAGAAGACATTGGGAGTCAGGAAACCTGATCTCTTCTGTTAACTCTGTCACTGACCATCTCCATCCCCTGTCAACTGCCCTCCTGTAGGAGCCTGAGTGTGTTGATCAGGATAAGAGAACCAGGGGCCTGACCACTGCCTGACCAGTTTGAGACTGGCCAATGTAGCCATTTTTAAAAGGCTTCTAAATATAAATGCCTGAGAGAAGTACTGGGAGGTATGTTACACTGTTGGCATTTTATTTTATTTTTTTTCTGAGAATCATAGGAGGGAACAGCATTTCAGGCAATTGGTTGGACTTCATGAAATCCTCAGTGTTTTGGCAGGAAGGAGCATCAGAAAGAGCTCTCCTTTTATGGAGAAGGAGATGAAGGGCCTGAGTGAGTTTTCTTGCTTTGCAGGGCCTATCAAGGGGACAACACAGTTTTTTTTTTCTCTCTCTCTCTCTTTTTTAAGAACTGTCTCCTGGAACCAGAGCCAATTTTTGCAGAACTGAGATTCTGATTCTGAAAAGTAGTCCTTTATGCTGGAGCAGTGTGCTCTCCAGAACAGGAGAAAACAGGATCATCATTATGGTAGAAAATGCACGTCCCTTCCAAGGGCTTCCTCAGCACATACAGGACCACAGACCATATGCAAGCATGAAAATTAGAAGGAAATGAGGTGGGTCTCTGAGCGCCTGCTTGGACCTCAGGATGTGACCAATGGGAGGAACCACCAGTGGGGCCTGTGGCTACAGGGGCTTCCGGGGGGAGGCAGGATTCTTGGCTCACCCATTCCCTTTCCCCAGAATAGAAACCTACTGTGGTGCAGGACAGGGAGGCTTGACCAGACCTCATTCCTCCTCCTCCTCCTCATCATCATCACTATCCCTTGCAGCGGGAGAGAGAAGGGACATCTTGATGTGTGCCCTTTGCTGTCTTCATGGGACTCTCTGACAAACATGCTTGAGTTGATGTCATTCCATAAACACTGATGTGCCTCTAGTATGGGGCCTGGTGTTAACCCTTGGATTTGACAAAGGTAGAGCAAGGATACAGAACCATCATTATTCTCTGGGACCCATGACATCAGCAAACCATCCAAAATTCTAGACTTCTACTCAAATTCATAAAACCAGACAGWCGGATCAAAGGTCAGCAACTTTCTTCTATAAAGTACTAGATAGTAATTGTTTTAGGTTTTGTAGGCCACTACAGTCTCGTTTACCTATTTGTTGTTATTTGAAACCTTTATGGTTAATAAAAACCATTCTTCACTCCTGGGGCATACCAAAACAGGACAGAGCTGAATTTGCAGGGCTGAATTTGTCCAGCGGGCTGAAGTTTGCCCACCCTGATGAAGAGATATATAGAAAGAGCCTTGAAATTCCACTGGCTGAGGTCTGAAGTCAGGAGGTTAATTTTAGTTGCTTGCTTTTTTTTTTTTTTTTTGGTTGTTGTTTCTTTATTTTGTTTTTTTAAGAAGATCATATAATTTATGGTCTAAACTGAGACAATTTTGAGAATCATAAGGGGGCCATTAACTCTCCTGAAGCACTCTGCATCTTGGGCAAATCCAACTGCATGAACCCTGTCCACCTACTCCCTGGAGGTCCTTTAGGATCTTCCTAGACCTTTGGAGAG